TAATAAGAATTGGGTTGTTTTTTCAAAACATTAAACATAACTATAAAGAGATTAAAGAACTACACGTCATACTTTTTAATAAATAAAAAAAATTGTTAGCAAATTTGTTGTGTAAGAGGAATAAATCACTTCAGGACATGTTACAGGAAAATAATTAACTTCAGGGTGGTAACAGTCACTCTATTTGAGCACACCACCCCATTGTTGATTAATTTCCAAGTGTTTTATGCAATAGCTAGCTAATTAAACAAGTAATTTCTCAGCCACAGAAACTATACTGTATGCAAAGGTGACAATCAAGAAGTCTTAGCATGTGGGCCGTTTATTAAAATGGCTGGGGTTTGAGTAAAATCACTAGACATGCATATTTATGGTGCTATGATTTCACCTAGAAGATAACACAGAAATCTTCCATACCATTTAAAGACCTCTTTAAACACAACAACTCAGAGGGTTTTTCTGGAAACATGCTTGTTTTACTTGTGTGGAATCGTGACATTTACAGCTGTTTATTGCCTACCATGCTGAGGTTAAGGCCACACATTAAACAGCTTGCATTCCAATGTTGCCATGAGAACAGCAAAACCGAGGTAACTGTAGTGAGCCTTGCAGTAATCCAGAGCTCAAACCCACGTTTGTTGCAGATCTGCAATTATAATTATACAGACAAGAATATGTTACTGAGGCCTATAGAGAGAACAGATCCAGATTAGTCATCTCGCTTTATCCAGTCAATGTGACGTGATGCACCTCTGCACATTCAGCTGTCTGTCCTGCTTTTCCATTTTTTCCACCCTTTGTCATGCAGAAGAAAAATTCCGCTGATCCAGTCTCTCTGGTTTGGTGCATGGTACCTTTAGTTAGCATAAACCATTAATTTCCATTGACTTTTATCTATTTTATTTTATCCAACTTCTTAGATTTAAAGAAGCAAATCTCTTCTACCGCAGCACTGTTGAATTCTCAAATCTGATTGGTCAGAAGGTGTTGATTTAATTTTCTGTAACAGCAGCTCTGACAGTAGCACCACTGCAAATCACATGTTTATATTATTGCACCTGTTCTAATATTTTATCGTTTCTATAGTAATGACTTGCATAAAGGCTTGTACAGCAGATGCCACACACAAATGTTTTTATTCCATTTACATTCATTGATGTGCTGACATTTTTTGTTAGGACATGAGTTTATTTTACATTTACGGAAGGAGTCTCCAGTGTCAGTGCTTTTTAACAACCACTCAAGATTTCAGCAAAGTGTTCAGGACAGAGGAGTTTACACTTACTGGTTTCTCAGTAATATAACCAGTGGCAGGGTTTTTTGTCTCATTCAAATTCAATTCAAATTCAAGAGAGAGAAAAAGAGAGGCTGGTGAGGGAACGACTGTTTATGGCTGCTATAATGTAACCAATAACAGGTACCTGTTTTTTGATGTTACGCAACTATAAATGAATAAAAAGTACAACGTGTCATTGTTTAATAAATTAGTATGAAATAAGTAAAAAGCAAAATAAACAAAATAAAATGTATTTAAAAAATATAATAAATAAAAAATATATAGTAAAATAAAATATATAATTTTAAAAATGCATAATGTATTTATTAAAAGATTTTAATGTACAAAATGTATTTTGATTTTTTATTTTATAAATTTATTATATAAAAATTATTTCCACATTTAATTTTTTTTTTACACATGATTAATTTATTTTAACTTTTTTTTTAAAGAAAGATTTTTAATTTCACGTTTCCCCCCTTACAGGATTCATTTATTTTCACATGATCAGATTATTTACATGTGAAAGGTGTGATTTTTTTTTTTCTCCACAAGGGTGAGAATATCAGTAAGTACAATTATGCTGAATTTGTACTGAACATATTGAGGTGTATTGATGTGCAACCAACAGATTCATTCGACGCCATGCCGAAATTGTAGCAATGTCGGCTCTTAACAGAAATCAAAATGAAACCAGTGAATGTGTCGGATAACGGAACCTTTATGAACAGTGACACTTGTATTCATGTAAAAGCTGCTGAGGAGCAAAAGATGTTTGCATTTCTTAACACACTTCCATACAATCAAACAAGAATAAGAATGTGAATACTAATAGACAAAGAGTCAAAACATGCTGTACGGTTGTACCAGAGCTGAACGAATCTTTGGACAGCGTGGCAGACGTTCAGATGGATACCCACAGTGATGATCTCTCATACTGCATGCTAGTAGAGCTCTGTTTCCTCTGCACAAGTCAATCCCATTCATATTGCTGAGTCAGACCTTTCTGGCCTAAAGGGAGACAATTCTCAGCTGGAATGTAAATTAGGTACAGACTTAATGTTTCATATTCTGTGGCAGTGAAAAGCATTAACCAAAGTTACACACATTATGTCTTTAGTTCATTTGTCAGGGGCTAATGGCTGCAGGCCTGTACATTTTATATATATATATATATATTTATATATATTCTCTGATCTAATAAACAGCGCAATGAAAACAAGCTAGCAGGACCTTCAGGTTGGCTACTGGAGGTAGATTTGTGATGGATTTAACTCCTAGAGTTCCATGTTAATAGGAACATCTGTACTCCTGCTCATTTATCCAGTCACCCAATCATGTGGTAGCAGCCCAATGTATAAAATCATGTAGATACAGGTCAGGACCTTTTAATTAATATTCTTATCAAGTATCAGAATGAGAAAAAATTTGACTTTGATCATGGCATGGTAGCTGGTGCCAGTTTCAGCCTCCTGAAATTCTCTAGTGTTTATACCGAATGGCGAAGAAAAAATAAATAAATAAAACATCTGTAGTTCTGGAGGTGGAAATGCCTTGCTGATGAGAGAGGTCAGAAGAGAATGGCTACACTGGTTTGAGCTGACAGTAACTATGCACTCTTAACAACTGTGCTGAACAGAAAAGCAGAGTCAGAATGTGCAACACATCAGACCTAGAAGATGACCACATCGGGTTCTACTCTTGTTAGCCAAGAACAGGAATCTGAGGCTACAGTGGACACAGTTTCCACCCTAACAGCACATCCTGAAATGTTTTATTCCTCTCACTGCAATTTGGTAACTATTAGCTTTTTTTAAATTGATTAACGTTAACATAACTAGTATATGTAGTTACGTTTAATGTTGTGGAACGTCTGCAAAACGAGTTAGTTTCCGGTACCACTTACGTTATAGGTACGTTTCAGGTAGAAACAGTCGTTTCCTCACCAGCCTCTCTTTTTTCTCTCTCTTGACGTTAATAAAACAAAAATGCAGCTTGCCATGTTACCAAGAAACCACAAAGTATAAACTCCTTTTGTCCTGAAGACTGCTGTAACCGTTACAGTTACAGCTTTATCACTGAGACTGGAGACTCCTTCCATAAAGGTTAAATAAACATTTACAGAAAACATCACCATAACAACTATTACACATCTGTTTGCGTTTTATTTATGTAGCACATCCACCATACATAATACAGCATAAATCTGTGCTTTGAAGTACAGCTGAACTCATGGTTAGAGCTGCTATTCCTCTGTATGAGCATGGTGATATGAGTGATTTGATGACTGTGACATGATTAAGAACCGGAGCCCTCTGGACCACAGTCCTTAAAGAGAGGGTAATGTTTTGAACCCCCCAGGACGGCCTACACGTTGGTAATATGCATGTGTTTATTGGCACACTGAGACCTGTGCGAGCGTGAACTTGTTTGGGCTCTGCAAATGTTATAGCCATTTAAATATCACACATCATTTGTATTCTGCGTCTGTGAGCTCCCCAAGAGATGGCTGGGAAAGCAGGAAGCGGCGCTGCTGGAAATCAGACGTGCTGCTGTGGTCCCTGATGCTTATCAAATCGATGAGACAAACATACAGCTCTAGATGCCACTGTTCACATTTAAAAGTCTTGTGGTTTTGATGCATCATAAATGTAACAAAAGGCGACACTAAAATAGCTCTCTGAGATTCCTCTAATAAAGGCTTGCAATTATCTTTATATGAAGAAAATTGTCTTTGTTGTTAAGCATGCCAGGATTTCACATAGTAGATGCACAAGTGCCTAAATTCCTGTTCTGTAATGATGAGTACACATTAACCATGCAAATAGATTTCACCTAGCTCTCCTGGTATCATTTTAGCTTCATAACAGCACACTGTAAGAGCCTCGTTTCATTTCTCAGCCATCCTGTGCTCACAACACCCGTCAGTGTCTTTGTTCAGTGGAGAAAAAGAGGGGGAAAAAATACAAAGAGGATGGTAAAAGAACCTCTGTCTGCCTCATCAGCTTTCTTTCTTTTTTTTTTTTTTGATACTGTCTGCTGGTTTGTGGAAATAAGACTGTCATATATCTAGCTTCAAATCCATTGTGGCAAGCAAATTGCTCTGTCAGTGTTTGAGCCTAAAACCGGAGGATCAATTTTAGAAAATTGTTTTTTCCATTGCGACATGTTTTCTAGGCAAAGCATTGTACTGATGTCGAAAAACGAGTTTATGGAGGTCTAAACGATCAAATTTTTTCTTGGTTTGTTCATAAGGCTGAAGTTAAAATGTAAAAGTAAATAAATAAGTCTACGGCAATAACTTTTTTTTTTCGCACACTGAGGACATAGATCACTTATCTCAAGTGTTTAATTTAGGAATTAAAATTAGGAGCTATACTTAAAGTGAGCAGTAAGCTTAGCATGAGTGCTCGGTCGGCTTGTTCTTCAAAACGTGGGCACATTTTCTTCACAGGAGAGGGCATTGAATTAACAAAAACTTTGACATTATTTTATTAATTATATAAATCAAATGATCATGATTAAAATTGCTTAAATCCCGCTCACACATTACGATTTCATAGCCGCAATTTAGTACTTCATTAATGCTGCAATGTAACTAAAATGCAAAATAATACAATGTGCTGGATCAAGTGCTATTTTATAAGCTGCTGAATAATGAGGGTGAAAGCCATATTGTTAAATTTGCAATGATTCTAATTATTCATGCAGCAATATATTGTGGTCCCTGGAGGACAAGTGGTTAGGCCTCAGTGCTCTCAGCACTGTGGCCTGGGTTCAATTCCCAGCCAGGGAACCAACCCCAACCACTGGGGTTGCAAGACCATGCACTCCCAGTGCCAGTCCCAAGCCTGGATAAAATTGCGGAAGGTTGCGTCAGGAAGGACATCCAGCATAAAACTGTGCCAAATCAAATATGTGGACCAATGATCCGCTGTGGCAACCCCAACGGGAGCAGCCTAAAGAACAACAGCAACATGCAGCAATATATGGAAAATATACTAGACTCCTATTAAGTATTTATTTCTTTTTCTTTTTTTTTTTCCTTTTTCATGTTTAAGGCAAGTGTGTTTAGTGGTCTCGGTGCTACTGAAAAACATTTCAGATGTTTGTACTTAAGAAAAATCTGGCAACCTCATAAGCATCAACTACACACAGGTGATTGAAATAATCTCTGTTTTTGCCTTTAACTATGTCCTGTTTCCCTGGCGTATGAATTAGAAGTTACACATATTTAAAATCATGGGGGGACATAAGAACTTTCAACACAAAAACAACAGATGGTTGTTGACATACACGTTGAGTGACCTGCAGGCTATATTATTTTGAGTCATTTAGTGTTTAGTATAGTTTATTTTCAATACACTTTAGATCATTTTTCATATGGAGGTCCTTACATCATCCATGATAGATGGGGCTGACTGGTGTTTCCCTGCACAGGCAGCTTTTTCCCCTTATTTCCACACATTGTGTTAGCCTGGGGTAATTATTTGCTGTCACAAACTCGGGCCTGTCTTTCTGAAGCACAGAGCTGCCTGATATCATCACTGCATGGTTTTAAACCTTTAAAATGACTGTAAATTGCCTTTGCTTTTGTCTGTATTATGGCAGCAGATTTAAAATAGTCTATTTGAACAGTGCAGCAAAATCTACATCCTCCATTCTGCTGTTTAAGGAAGAGCAATAGAGGCTGTTTGCTGACAGGAGAAACGTGGTTCTGCCACAACAGGCCATGCTTGAAAACCTTCTCGCTTGTGAAGAGGTCTTGCCTGAGGAGGTCTTGATAAACGAGTCCCAGCACACAGTGTAGCATTGATAATCAGTGGTGTGTGAAGTCAACTTATCTTTCATGCCTGGACTGTGTACAAAAAGCATTGAAGGCAACAGGATTTAATCAGCTTAACTTCCTGTGCACACCGATCATTCCTATGCCTTTATCAATGTAAAAATACACAATTAAAAAAAACAGAGAGAAGAAAATTGTGGCTGCATTAACTGTCAAAACATGAGATATAAAAAAAAAAAGGTCACTAATATGATGTGCTGGATCAAGTGCTATTTTACAGAATGTGGAAGCAATATTTTGTGATCATTACAACTAGGACTATTCATACAGCAATATATCAGCAATACTAGACTTCTATTGGATTTGTTTAGATTCTCAATGCTCACCATTTTCACTTTCATGCATCATCATTAGTCTTTATTTCATTTTTAAATTGTCTTGTTTTTATTTATGTTCTTCAGTCTAATTTTCTATCCCTGATTTTGTTTGTGCTTTAAGGCAAGGTGTTGGTCTAGATGTTCTTGAAAAACACAGTTTCGGACGTTTCTCCTTAAGAACAATCTGGAAGCCTTGGAGGACTGAACCGCATAACCCAACAGTGAACACTTTCCCTGCTTAAATATTTAACTATTTACTTAATTACTGAATATATGACTTCCATTGTCAATATTCAGCTGCCTATACAATAGCACTTGATCCAGTGCGTCCTATTATTTTGCATCGTGCTCCGATGGTTACTTGTACACACAACTTAATCAAGCCACAAAGTGACTTTCGCTACATAAATATCGGTCTAATTTTTGGGTTGACTACAGCCCTGACAGCATAAATAATCCTGTCTCCTTACATATACTGTATGTTGACATGGAGGTGTGTAGGTCTGAATCAGGGTGCACAGATAATGTGGTGCAGAGCCCTTTGATTATTTTTTTAATTACATTTATTTCTGCAGTTTTATGTATCATTCAACAGTTTAATTACATTATAGGATGAGTGATTCTCACTGCTGCTAATGTAGCAAGTGTATTCACCACAGGATGCATTTCATTCTGTAAAATGGTCTCATTCTTGGAAACTCCTTGTTGTATTTAATGATTCCCAGGAGATACCATTATGGATAAACAAGAACGGTTAAGAGTTGGTTCCGATGTTTGACTTACCACCACGATTCCTATTTGCTGATGACGTTTGTGAGATGATTTTAAAGATCTTTTACATTATTTGCTTTTACAGATTTTGTAAGATGGATTATGAGTTGTTTCGAACTCAGTTGCCACATGTTGCTTTGAAATTGGCTTATTCTTGTGTCTGTTTTATATCTGACACATAGGTACTTGGCATTCAACCTAACAACCTCTCTGCATAGCTGCCTTTTTGTAATCATAATTGAGCTCTATTTCTATTATTTAGTTCACCTCCTATATCTTCTCCTGTGACACTGAAACAGTCATTTCACTTTCGAGTCAATGGCCTAACTTGCTCTTAAATGTCAGCTCCTTTCATGTTCTTCTTTACACCACAATGCTGTTGAATTCTTAAGTCTTATGAGTGTTAGGAAGTGTTGATTCATTTTCTATAACAGCAGCTCTGACAGTAGTTGCAAGGCAAATCACACATTTATACTAACTCTATTGTAACAGCTCATTCACAAGGACACACAACACACTAAGGTTTTCCTTAATTAAAAACGGCAGATATAATTTCCTTAAAAGTGAAACCAGAGTGGGCAATTTAAGTTTTTTTTTCTCATCTTCAAACAAAAACATTTTTTGTTGTTGTTTTTTAAAATAAGTCTAACATATACTGTATATGAAATTAGCACATGAAGAGCTCTGCATAACCTTAATTCTGATTTGGCTGTACAGCAGCAAAGATATGGTTTCCAGACGTAAAAGCTTGTAATTCCTCATTCCATAAAATTTAATTCCAGACCTATCGTCATGAAATTTGGTTTGGAGGAGCTGCTTGAATGTGCTCCATGTGAGAGGAAAAGATAAGGACACTTTAATTTAGGTGACTCATGCAGGGGAGTAGGACTGCGACTTTACCCTGACTTTAAGATAAATCAAAAATACATCACATACATAGTGACCCGTGAAATTGTAATTTTTCGGGGAAACAAATTCCCATCGTGAACGATTTTACTTGAATCCTAAATGACGAAAGGTCGTCTAATTCTTATTTTATGGTGTCTTTTGTATCTCCACCTCCTCATTTATATGGTGTATACTGTATGGTGCCAGGTTAAATGAGGACATTGCAGGAGCTATTTCAGTGACATAATTAATATTATATTCTTTAGACTGACAAGTGATGAGCTTGTTTCTTCTCAGATGCATGCCTCCAATTTCAGGGCCTGTGATTATCTCCAAATGTCCCAAATTATCGGTCACGTCTTTGTTTCACTCGGTTTGTTCTCTATTTTGTCAGGGTGCTAAACAAACCTGTGATTAAAACCAGTCTCGGATGTGTCATCATTTGGATTAGCTGAACTAACAACTGTTTTGAGGGTGATGGCACATTCATTAGGCTTTGATTAGCTTGTTTTGTCTGATTTCTAATATTACTGTATTAGTCTAAGCAGTATTTCCAAGACGTTTATTTGATATAGGCATTTATACAACAAATCTGATGTGCTGTTCAAACAGACATGATATGATGAAGCGGAGTTACTGTTACGATCCTGAAAGATGTATGATTTAAAACAGCACATTCTGAAATGATTGTACCACAGCAATTTGACAAAACTAACAACTTTTATTTATTAAACAACACATTGTTTTTAAAGTTACATTTAATGTTGTGGAACATCTGAGAAACAAGCTAGTTCCTCAAGCTAGCCTTTCTTTTTGAACCACGGTTTGTTCATTGAATGCCGAGGTTAGTTTTTACACGTTAAAATCATAATGATGTCTTGCATATTCTCCAGAAAGATCATGGTTATTTTACACAAGAGTGCACATAGTTGACTAATGTTGGAGTAACGTTAGCATGGTCATACCATGAGCTTGTTTTATACTCTCAATTTGCTGAAACAAACATACTATTTAGGATTATCCTTTTTTTTTAAGAGGGTAAAAATTATGGGCTGAGGCGTTAATCAGGCCCACGTTCATGAATAAATTCTTGGTATGGTAGCCATCGTTCTCAAAAATAAAAATAAAAATAGGCATGTCAAACAGTATAAATGTACAAAGTATGTTTTCCATTTGCTAATTCTGAACAGAAGTTATGCATAATCTGTTTTTAATGTGAAATGTCAGGAACTATTCATGAGAAACTATATTATTGTTAAACTAAACACCCCCAGGACATTTTACTGAAATGCAGAGGCTCCTATGAAAAAGGTTTTAAAGCTATACTCACTTGGGCCTTTGTGGTCAAATGACTAAAATGAATCATAAACGTCTACGAATAGATTAACATTATTAGATGCAAATTTATACCCCATGCTAGATACGTATTTTTTAAAATTAACACCACTGGCACAATGAATCCTACGCATTATGTCGACGAGCTGTGTGATGCAATTCGAGCTTCGCCTTCATTTTTCTCTCCTGAAGCGCTTGAGGAAAGGATCTGTTTTGATGGCCCTCGAAAACTCACAGGTCATGTAGAATGAGTGTGTGGGTTGTGTGCTTGTTTGCCTGGCCCCTTGCAGACGGTGAGAGTTGGTAGAATATGTTTACTCCCACCTGCCTTTCCATTTAATAAGCTCTCGTCTCTCTCTCTCTCTCTCTCTCTCTCTCTCTTGTTTCTTCCTTGCCCAGTAGCCATCTGCACCATTCACACCATTCTCCAGATCTGCCAATGTTGCTAACAGGAAAATCTGTACAAGACACAAGAAAAGCCAAGTGACAATGCGAAAACAATGAGGCAAAAAAATAAAAATAAAATCTGGTGTGATGCTACTTAATAATTAGCCGCTCCTCCATTTTACCATTTTACCAACCAAACAAAGTACTACTTGTTATTTTTTGGTTCACAAAACCATGGCTCATGTATTCTCA